AGTATATCTTCAGATTCCTGAAAATAAACCATACTCCGGTCTCCCAACACTATTGCATTGCTTCATTGTCTACATACAAGTAGACTTTTTTGATAGATAAAACCTTTTTTTTTTTTTTTTTTTTTTTTTTGATAGGGACTCACTCTGTCGCCCAGGCTGGAATGCAGTGGTCTCATTGTAACCTCTCGTTTCCGGGCTCAAGTGATTCTCCCACCTCCGCCTCCCGAGTAGCTGGGATTACAGGAAGGTACTACCACGTCTGGCTAATTTTTTTTTTTTTTTTTTGAGACGGTGATTTGCCCTGTTTCTCAGGCTGGCTTCGAACTGCTGAGCTCAGGCGATCTCGGCCTCCCAATCCCAAAGCTGGGATTAAAGGCGTGAGCCACCGCGTGCCCGACCCGTAAAACGATTTTTAATACCTTTTGAATGTAAGCTCTATGGGGGTAGGAATGTGCGTCTTGTGCATCGCAGTGTTTCCTGGGCCTACTACAGTGTTTGACACACATTGGGTGTTCCTTAAGTGTAGTTTGAATATAGGGAGGAGAAATGATTCAATGAATCAATTAAAGTAATAAACTGATATCCTTTTCTCAAAAGGTACAGATTAAGGAACCGTCTCTGCTAAAGATTCGAACTTATTTACCTCAACATCACTCTTTTAATTTGTATCAGCAACAATAAAAAATGCATTTATTTCCAGAAGAGAATTAAGTTTTGTTTTATTTTGGGTGTTTTTTTCCTTAGTGGGGAAAGGAGAGGGAAAATCAGCTTTCAAGATCTTTATCCATTTCTCAAAGTTTTGTGTTTTCCAGGTTCGGGACGGTCGCCGGGAGGGAGCAGGCTGCCAAATTTCCTTGCTCTGTGTCTAACTCCTTACACAAATCCCAAAGGGCCCTTTCACCAAATCATTAAATTCTACAGAGGTGGTCAAGCTCGCACTGCTTTTCATGAAACGGAGAAAGAAAAGGGTCCTTGAAGTTTAGAAGATGCCCAAGGAAAACTCCTTGAATGACATCAAAAGAATGAGTTTCCATAGCTGTTGAAGCACGAGGGCAGTGTATCCGTACAAAGGGGGATCGGGGCACTGGGACGGGCCCACCGCTCTGTCCCAGGACAATTGGGTCACTGAAATAGGGAATTAATTACCATTGGAGAGTGGGCAGCCCATTCACCACTGGCTGAGTTTTATTAAACGCCAATATAAATAACAAAACAACTCTTGTGGCTGCACTATTCCTACACGCCAAAGGAAGGATTATGCTGGGGATTAACATCTTAAAGTCTATGAGACTTTCTGACTCAAGGCTCGGAGCTGGTAATCGTGTTTGTCTCCTGGTTCAGCGATTAGTGCTCTCTTTCTTGCACTTTCCCCTGGATAGCCAATGTCCCTTTTTGCAGGCACAGAAGGGTGGGGAAGAGATTCTCTCCCTAGTGGGCCCCCAGCTCTCCATTCACGCGCTGGCTGTTCTTTTCCCCTTACCTGAAGAAAACAATCAGAAAGCTGGCATGGATTGGCAAAATCTCCTACGGTAGTTTCTTTCCTTCGTGGGAAAGAAGAGGGACACTTGGGTAGCGGGTTGCATTAGGAGTAAGAAGTTTGCGGAGCTTTGCCTTCCCCAGAGCAGGTGGGGACAGGGTACAGCGTCTGCGAAGAAGGAAGTGAGCCTCCTAGCACCTGCGGGGCAGATTCTGCGCTAGCAAGCTGACCTTGTGTGTCAAGCCGAATCCCGGAAGGTTTGACTTCGAGGCACCAGAGCACGTCGTGCGAGCTTGGGACCAGGGTCTCTAGAGTGGGGCTTGGGGCCTGGAGGATGATCTTCCCTGCCTTCTGTCTGCTCTGGCGGATGCCGATTCCTTGGACGCTATGAAAATTCTGAAGGGGAGGGGCTGGCGCAGTGAAGCGCAGCTCAGTGACCTGGCCGGGACCTCTCCAGGGCTAGGTTCAAGCCGATTCCTCCCCCGAGAGGATTCAAGGGGAAAACGTGAGGGAGACCGAGAATACCTTGTGGGATGTAGTAAATGGGGATCGGGGCGAATTTACATTGTTTTCCCCTTGGCTTCCTTGGCTCCCGGATAGGGACCATCAGAAACTCCGAATTCACACTCATTCCCAGCGCTCACCACTATCAATAACGAATCCTAGCGTTGTAAGGGGTGCTCTGCGGAGAAAGCTAATTGTTCCCATCGCAGGCTCTCCTGCTCTGGAAGCTGCGTTTCTAGCCTGCAGCGAAGAACTAGAGACAGTTGATGTAAAAGATGTTTAGGATTTACCAACTTTTTCCCGCCATCTTTCCATCTTTCTGAGAACTCACTCGGAGGATTAGGATTTGGGTTACAAAGCCCCCTTGTCAGGTACTTCATCTTGTTATTTTAGCAGAGCGCAGACATTCCTGTGAATTAGGCGACAGGCTCGCTGGATAGCCAAACCTTGGCTTTTGTCTTCTCAGGGAAGGGCGCCCTCCTTCGCGCCCCCGACAGTCACCTGCAACAGCAAGGGACTAGCGCGGCGACCATTTGTCCTCTTTCGCCACTTGTGAGGTCGAAGTGTGGAGGGGATGTAGCCTATGGCTCCACAGCAACACCTACCCTAAACTTTAAGGCTTTTGGGTCGTCTCAAAGTTCAAGCTTCTTAGAAGCAACAAAGACATTCTAAAGATCCCCACCCTGTCACCCCTCCCCTTACTCCACTTTTCTCTCACTGCACGCACTCAGCCCCCTTTCTTTCTGAGGTTTGGGGATGAGTTTAAATCATTGTGCTCCCATTTCTTGATAACTGCCTGCTTTGAGCTTTTGTTCTCTTAAAGTAGGATTCCGCACTGAAAGAAGGGCTGAAGATGAACAGTTTGACCCCTTAGGACAGTTCATGCAATGGACAGGAGCGGCCCTCGGTCACCATCCTGGCTGATGCTATTCACTCACTCCCCTCCCCCTTCACATAACATTTCAGCCTCGTTTCATCTGGACAATCTTTTAGACCACACAAGTGCCTCTTGAATTTATTTAAGTTAAAAGAGTGCTAGAAGAGTACAGCTAAGGATATTTGGCATTAGTTATGCCTTCGCAAAGCTGAGTACAAATGGAAATTGCTTTCTTTTTCCGGCAAAACTAAGCAAAATGCCGAACAAATACAATTCTGCTATCTAGGCAACTGTGAGTAGGAATGGTTGGTCTTTGGATTGCATGAGGTTGTCCTTGGGTGTTTCTCTTCTTTTTAAAAATGATATTTTTCACAGTAAGAAATATTTTCAGAAATGCTTTGTGATCAAGTGTGAATCAGCTCTTGAAGGCTACAGTAGAAACACACAACCAAAAATCTTAAGAGTTCCAGGATATATAGAGGGCGTTTTTGTTTTTGTTTTTTACAGATGTACTTTAAAAAATTGTTGTATACCTTTTTTTTTTTTTTTTTTTTTTTTACATTTTACTTTCTGGGATATACATGTGCAGAATGTGCAGGTTTGTTTCAACATGTGCTATAGTGCTTTGCTGCACGTATCAACCTATAATCTAGTTTTTTTTTTTTTTTTTTTGAGACGGAGTCTCGCTCTGTCGCCCAGGCTGGAGTGCAGTGGCGCAATCTCGGCTCACTGCAACCTCCGCCTCCTGGGTTCACATCATTCTCCTGCCTCAGCCTCCCGAGTAGCTGGGACTATAGGCGCTCGCCACTACGCCCGGCTAATTTTTTGTATTCTTTAGTAAGACAGGGTTTCACTGTGATAGCCAGGATGGTCTCGATCTCCTGACCTCGTAATCCGCCCGCCTCGGCCTCCTAAAGTGCTAGGATTACAGGCGTGAGCCACCGCGCCCGGCCTATAATCTAGGTTTTAAGTCCCCGCATGCATTAGGTATTGGTCCTAATGCTCTCCCTCCCCTCGCCCCCCAGCCCCACCCCCGACAGGTCTTGTATGTGATGTTCCCCTCCCTGTGTCCACGTGTTCTCATTTACAGATGTATTTTTTTATAGTAATTGGACAAACATCACTGCATATGCCCAAAGAAGCCCTCGTTTAAAAAAATAAAATTCTATAAACCCGATGATGTCTTTACATTTAATGATTAGAAATTGATTTATAGCAATGTTTGAATATGTACACAATCCTAAGTTTCTTGCCATCGTTGGAATGGTTTTTCCTTTTGCAGGAAACTTCCAGAATATGAAGCGTGCAGTTTACCTTAATACAATTTTACCATTACTAAGCATCTGTATAGGATATACTTAAATATGCATTATTAACTTATCACTCACAGACAGTATAGAAGATTTGGATTTTGTCAAAGGAAAACATGTACCCTTTCAGTGAGTCATAAAAACATAAAATCCTGGGAGAATATAAAAACTGGAGAGTCAGATGTTCAAATACTGTTAACAATCAACTAAAGAAATCCATTGTGTGTTTCACTGGCACTAAGCATCAGACCCAGCTTAATCTCATTGTTATTTGGGGTTATACGAGGCTCACCAAGTTTCCCTTTAAGTCTCTACTTAACTAGATTCCAATTCTGTTCTTCCCCCAAATATATTTTATCATTAAATCAACCCAGCACTCCCTAGCTAAACCAAAAGTTTAAAGCAAACTGTCCAAAGACAGGTATCTCCACTGACACTAAAATAAATCTTCCTTTGTTTTCATTACATTAATCTATTTTCGCTTGTATTTCTTTGCAACTCCTGTAAAGCGATATAGAAATCTAAAGACTGAAAAACCAAGGTTCCTCCTATCATTCATTGGTATTTGTTTTTAAAAGTCTTTGATCATTTCCTCAGAACCTAGCTTTCTTGTCCTTTTATTTTATTCAAATTTACAAACAAACACAAATTCTGTGTCTGCTCCCACGTGTTCCTTGGGTCCCTACTGGGCTAGACAAGTCCACACCCTTGGCAGGTTTTCTTTTAGGGGGACTATGAGAAGAGTATTTGCTTGTTTGGTATCAGTGATAATTGCCTATAAATTAATGCTCATGTGTACAGCAACAAAGGAAAGCACTTCTAGCACAATTTGTGCTTGGTCAAACTTTTTATGAAGTTCTGATTCTGAAGGTTCATGATACAGAGACAGAAACCCAAAGATGTGTGAGACGCAGGTGCTGTGTGCTAGAAACACTGAAAGTGTCTCCCTTTTCTTTTTCATTTCTGCATTTCTAACACGTGAAATTAAGCTGTTCTAAAATAATTGAGGCGGAAACTGGCAAATGATGCTTTTATATTTTGGGAATTTGCTTTAAAAAGGGAGAACGTGAAAACACAAACATCAAAGAGCAAAGTGGAAATCATGATAGTTTTCAAATAATTTCAAGATTGAGGGAAGTTGGAAGGTTGAAGAACTGCAATAGGTAATGCTCCTTTTCACAGGTTTCTAATTTTCATTTTCTTTACTTTGTGCCTTCCAGTCCTCCTTGTTATCTCCCTGAAGAAAACATTAAACAAATTAAAGCCATGCCAAAATACTAACAGCCAATTTAACCACCCCATCTTTGGAATACAGTTTGTTTCTAAGTCCTACAAACCGAGGGAGACAGAAACCAGAAGACAGTATTCTCTTTCTCTTCTACTCTTCCACTCCTAACACTCCAACTGTGCCTTACCTAAAGTTAATTTGCAAAGGGGATCTCAAGGGACCCCACTCCAGTCTACTGAAGTCCGGATCCATCCCCACGTGGACAAAAGGGTGGGCATGAACGTGGGGAAAGTGGGGAGGGCTGACGAGCAATTCAGAACAAGTTTCCTCCGAGGTCCAGTCGCCCTTCAGCTCTTTTTTCTTATTGAAAAACAGAAGAATTGGAAAGATGGGCCCCTTGTCCCTACAACGCCCCCCAGCGCGGAGCAGAGGTCACGGAAATGTCAGCGCAGCACATTTGCTTGCAGGAGCAGCAGCTCTGCCGCTCCTCCAGCTCGGTTCGCTGCCACCCACGCGGGAAGCCTCCTTGCTGTCCCTCCAGGCTATAAACTGGGTAAACCCCCGCAAAACCTGTCTCAGTGCCCGGAGCCTCAGTTTGCCGTATGTAAAACGAGGGGGATCCTTTCAGCTCTAACAAGTGAGTGGTTTTATTCTCACATCCTCTAAAAGCTCATCAACTGCTACACTATCCGACCTCCCCTCCCAGGAGACGCCTGTTTGAATCCCCAGTGTCCTCTCCCTTCACTCTCCCACGCCAGTTTCGATGGACCCCAAACACACTTGTCCACGAGGCGTCCACAGCTCGCCATCCACGCCCTTCTCCTCTCCTAACCAAATGAATCCTTTTAAAAATCGTTTACTATTTGATACAGTCCCTAAGAGGCTTTGCCAAGAGACGCCCGGCAGCACCACAGGGCTAACTGCTTTCCCCGGGATTCTGACCCCCATTAACTAATTCCTAGTTCCCATCACCCAGGAGCTAGGAGGGCCGGCAGCGCCGGGTGCGGTGCCTGCGCGCGCGCCGGGCGGGGGGAGCCTCGGCGGCAGCGAGGACGAAGGCGGGGGCGGTAGCACGGGTCCCCCCATCCGCCCCCAGCGCTCGGGCCCCTAATGAGCCGCTGAAAGGGAGCGGGCTCCGGTGCGCGTGGCTCGCAGGCCTCCCGGAGTCCGGGGCGCCCTGATTGGCCAGCTGCGCCTCGCGACCTCCATTCATTAATAAATTAGCGGCACGCTCCAGCCGAGCGCGAGCCACCAATCACAATGGACAGCGGCGGCGACAACAGCCGCAGCTTGAGCCTCTGCGGCCGCTGCGGCTTCGCCAGCTCCGGCCGCAGCCTGGAGCTCCAACAGGAGCTTTAGAACCATTTTATGCTGATTAGATAAAGGGGGAAAAGAGAGGCGGGGGTGGTGGGAGGAGGAGGATGGATGGCAGGGCCAAGGGAGGGGGAAACGCAGTGAAGAAAGAGAAAGAAATGAATGATGATAATGCAATGAAAAGAATAAGCCAGGGGAGGGAAAAGCGGGGGAGAAGGGGGGCAGGACTGACAGGAGGAGGAGGCGGTGGCGGGGAAGGGGGGGCCCGGGGCAGATCTGATTGTTTTCTTGGTGGTATATAAGGGGTTTTAAGGAGAGTCGTGTGCCAGACACGCAGCCACTGAACCACAAGCAGCTTCGCTTTAACTGGAGTGCCTGGGAGTCGCGTGCCAGGAGCCGCACGGCCAGGGACTGACTGACAGACAGACACGCACCACCACCACAACACACAAGACCCGGGCGGGCCGCCGCCGCCGCCGCCGCCGCCGGGGCTCTTGGCAAACTCGCCGGTCGCAGAGGTCCCCCGCGGAGCTGCGCCACAGTAGCGCCAGGCTTGCAGCTTTCACCCCCAGCGAAGGACGCGGCGCTGCGCTCGCGGCTGCACTGAGATTCCCGGCACACGCCAAAGTCACAGCAACGCTGAGGCACAGGTAGAGCCAACTAAGTAAGTATTCGAGCCACGGCTTCCAACTTCGCAGGTGGCTTCCCCGCACTCAGTCCAACCACACCCGCACGCCCTCTGGTCCGCGCAGAATCTTTGTCGCGGAGGCCGCAGTCCCTTCTCGGCGGGAACGCAGGTCGGCCCGCGGAGGGCAGGACCTGGCTGACTGGCTGCAGGATCACAGCGAGAGCTAGCGGCGCTCCTGACCTTGGCCCGGGTTTCTTTACCCGCGCCATTCGGAGCTGGTCTTCTCGGGTGCGCGCCTGAGCACGCCCCTGTGACACGAAGATCGCGCCTCTGTTTCTTTCCTTACGCCTCACTGCCTTTTTCTCTTTCCCCTCTCTCTTTGGTAGGATGTTCGTCAAATCCGAGACCTTGGAGTTGAAGGAGGAAGAGGACGTGTTGGTGCTGCTCGGTTCGGCCTCCCCCGCCTTGGCTGCCCTGACCCCGCTGTCATCCAGCGCCGACGAAGAAGAGGAGGAGGAGCCGGGCGCGTCAGGCGGGGCGCGTCGGCAGCGCGGGGCTGAGGCCGGGCAGGGGGCGCGGGGCGGCGCGGCTGCGGGTGCGGAGGGCTGCCGGCCCGCACGGCTCCTGGGTCTGGTGCACGATTGCAAACGGCGCCCCTCTCGGGCGCGGGCCATCTCCCGAGGCGCCAAGACCGCCGAGACGGTGCAGCGCATCAAGAAGACCCGTAGACTGAAGGCCAACAACCGCGAGCGAAACCGCATGCACAACCTCAACGCGGCACTGGACGCGCTGCGCGAGGTGCTCCCCACGTTCCCCGAGGACGCCAAGCTCACCAAGATCGAGACCCTGCGCTTCGCCCACAACTACATCTGGGCGCTCACCGAGACCCTGCGCCTGGCGGATCACTGCGGGGGCGGCGGCGGAGGCCTGCCGGGGGCGCTCTTCTCCGAGGCAGTGTTGCTGAGCCCGGGAGGCGCCAGCGCCACCCTGAGCAGCAGTGGAGACAGCCCCTCGCCCGCCTCCACGTGGAGTTGCACCAACAGCCCCGCGCCGTCCTCCGCGTCCTCCAACTCCACCTCCCCCTACAGCTGCACTTTATCGCCCGCCAGCCCGGCCGGGTCAGACATGGACTATTGGCAGCCCCCACCTCCCGACAAGCACCGCTATGCACCTCACCTCCCCATAGCCAGGGATTGTATCTAGAGCTGCCGTTTCTGCTACCCACGTCAGGCCTTAGTGGGTTCCCTTTCCTGTCCCCAGTCAAGCCCTCCTCCCTTACCCTGCCCCCTCCCTTCTATGCCCTGGAAACCTTCTCACTTCACAGGGCAGGTGTAGCCGTTCTGATTCCCCGGTTGTTTCTTGCATTTCTTGGCTTTGTGTATCCTTCGTTCAGACGGGCTCTGATTTATTGAAGGTGTGATGGAGCTTATTGTCAAAGCCAAGGGTGGCGTTTTGGGGGCGCTTCTTGAGACGAAAAAGACGCTGGGAAGAGATGATGGTGGCATATCTAAACAGTTTGCAGAGCGGACTGACGCTCCTCCCCTTTCTCTGTAACGCCGGAGGACTTGGTGCAGTTCGTGTGAATCTCACAGGGAGAATGCAACTGGTTCCTGTGATCTCTTCACCTTTGCTTCTACATAGAGATGTTAATGTCGAGTAGAAAGAAATGTATCTTAGCATCTGAATGATTTTACTGGTAATAATATTATCCACAGATTTGCAATGGCTGGCATCTGCTTTATTCCCATTGCTGTCTGCAGGCTGTGGGAATTTCACCTGTCAAAGCAAACTTTCCCTCTCTGATGTGCACTTTGTTCTGTTTCCCAGATTCGTCACAATGCCTATTGTCCTGTCCTTCTCTTTCCTTTTTCTTCCCTATTTTGCCATCTGTCTCTTATGATTTATAAGGGGGAAAAAACTTGTTTTGTTAGAGGGGCAGGTTAGAAGTCATTGTATAATTTGTAGGCTTTGTAATGATTGAATGCAAGCGTGGAAATTTAGGTTGAACTCTCTATCAAAAGGAAAAATGTGGAGGAAAAGGGAAAAATCAGGAGGGAGGATTGCTTCATGCATTATTTATCTCGACCTTTTAGGGAAGAAGGAACTCCCCCATTCTTTCAAGAGATTAAAAATAAATCAACAGTCTGAAAACCTAAGCAGACACGGAGCATTATCCGGATCAGCCACACACGTGTTCCCTTCTATTTATTATAAAGAAATTTTTCATGGGAAAATATGTATTTTTTTGTATATTCTACAGAGTTTATTCTAGTATGTATTTACGTATTGAAGAACAAGAAAGTTGTTCTTGTGATTAAACTATAAATAAAGTATCTAATTTTCATAAGTTTGTGTGTTGTATTCTAACTTTTTCTTGCTTATGTGATTGTTGGATGCCGAATGAGTTGTGTGTTTTTGAAATTCTCCCCATGTCAAATTGAATGTAGTACTTGTATTTTTTGGCAATGCTTTGTGTAGAATTTCATTAAGAAATCACAAAAAGCTGAATCATATTTGAGACACTAATATTGAAATGAGTGTAACTCTATTTTTAAGACAAGCACACAATTTATTTTTAAGAAATAAATTTCTGAGCAAACAAGCAAAAAAGGGGAGAAGAATTTAAATGATAATTAAGTCATGATAAGCTCCAAAGTTCCGAAAACCTTGATTTGAAAAAAAGTGAAGTTGAAATTTCTTGGTGGAGTGTGTGGAAATTTGGTTTTTGTACAATTTGTTTGGCTTCAATTCTCATCTGTAAACTGAAGGGATGGGACCTGACCTCCAAGGGTGCTGCCTTTCCAGCTCTAACATCTGTGATGTAACAGTATGTATAAATTCATTATTAGAAGATTTCCTATTAGGCATTTTAACAAGTTAGTTGCTTTTAAAAGCAGGCTCCCAGAATAAAGCAGACATTTAGAATGAACTGGAATTGAAAACATATAAAGAAATAGCTCCACTTTCCAATATTTGTTAAAGTTATTACATAGTCAAAACTTCTTCAAAGAGAAAGCAAAAATGGTTTAACTTGCATCTCAATCTCCAAAGCAGAAATGAATGATCTTTGATTGGCTTTGGGTCAAAAATGACCAAATGAAGGTTGACCACATTCTAGGTTTAATCCCCTTGGGGAAGAGTGTCTATGATAACACAAGCTAAAAAAGATCACAATAAATCTTGGTTGTTCACAGCATCCCCCTCCCCACGAATGTCTTACCTGCATCTGATTTGGGCTATATACTCTACTCTTCTGCACAATGCAATAATAATTTCTCCTGAGGTGTCTATCTGAAACTACTCCTCTCTAATAACTCCATTTTAATCAAAGGCAGAACTAACTCAGGGTTTTGGTTTCATTTTTATAGCCAAGCATGAGAGACCTTTTGGTAAATCCCTTTTAATTTAAAGATTGTGTTACTCTTAGCTGCTCTTTGAATGTGTGACGTAGGGAGAAAGTGACATTTCTCTTATATTCACATTTATGTTTCTAGTGTTTAAAAAGCCAAGCCAGCAAGCAAAAGAACTGTAATATGATAGTTTGAAAACATCAGTTTTGGTGCTGAACAACGCATCTTCTGGTGATACATTTGATGACACATGGTGCTTCTTTTGGAAACTTGCCAAAGAAATAGTTCATGACAAAATCTCAGATGCAGCTACTCCTGCGACTATGGGAAACCTTCTCAATTGATGAAGCCATCCCATAAAAAGATGACCCTAATGACTCAGTTGGAGAGGCAGGGATGGATAGATGATTCAATAATCCTAGCTCTGAGCAAGGCTCATACAACTAATACAGACTTCACTCTTGACCTAGCCGACTCTAGACACTTCTTCCAAGTCCAGAGTCTTGTTCAAGTTCTCAAAGCTGGAGCTTGGAGGTCTCCATGTACACACAAGCAGACACATCCTAAATGCCAGGGCTTTCATCTACCATTTGCAATTCACACTCAGGCTTTCCCTTCCCCATCTAGAACACACCTATTTTACACTAAATTGGTGCAATTATTTTTTATGGCGTCTAATCATCTTAAGCGGGTAAGAATGATGTACTGACTGCCTCGGCGCCGAGATTCTCTCCCCTAACCCGTTGCAACCTTCACGGCCTGTGGCCTGAGGCCCAGCCGTTCTTTTCCCTTCCTAGTAGGAATGAGTACAATTAGAGGGCCGAAGCCGCTGCTTCTGCAGGAGGCAACAAGGTCGTTTTTCCATTTGATTCATTTCCCTCCCGACACTGTGACCGCACTGTGATGAGCTGCATCTGTGTGCACCAAGTAGGTCTGCAGGCCTCGGAGCCACGCCATTTTATTTCTGGTGGCTCTGATGAGAGACACTTCAACCAACGCTGTGGAGATTTTCTTTCGGTGACAGTCACAGACTCCCAGTGTTGCTAGATCTTTCCAACGCCGGTTAGTGCGCTGCGGCGCGTTCCTAAGTGCGGAGAGGCGCGAAGGTGGGTGCTGTTCTCATTGGAGCGTCGCTTTAGCGCGGCCAGAGTTCCGGGATTGCCTGTATTTATTTGTTCTAAAGTGCTTAGGTCTTGTTACAGCTCATTTTGCCTCCACTAGATTTTAAATACATCCATCTGAGCGCCAAGAAGGAGGAAAAAAGGTAGGAAGGCGGACTGCCAACCGCTGGGACTGCCACGGGAGCCGGACCTAGGCTCAGCTGGAGGCAGGAGGAGGGGCTGAGGCTTCCCGGGCCGCCGCACCTGGACCAGAACTGGGTGGGCTCCCCAGGTGTCCCAGCTGAGGCGAAGGCCCTGGGCGGCTTTGGCCAGGGGGGAGGAGGGGCCCATTCGGCACTTCCCAAAGCCTAGTCCTATGGCCCAGGAAGGGCTTTTAGGCCCAAGGCCGGCTTCAGCCGCCCACCCGCCAGTCTGGGTCACAGGCTGCTAAAGGGCTTGGCTTGAGGGCGAGGCTGAGAGCTGCGGCGCTCCCACCCGCTGGGTACACCCCCCTGCATTGCACACCCTTGGGCCGGTTGTGACTTCTGGGCACCGACACCTGGAACCGGTTAAAAGCGTCTCCTCCTCACCGCCAGCCTTGGTCTCCCCCGAGCCCCCTCGGGCTCCCAAGCGAGCTTTGAATGTATTAATTAAATAAAGTGGGCAGCTCTTGAATCGCGCCAATGCAGGGCGCTCCCGGGAGCGTGAAAGTCCCGGCCTCCGAATCCGCAAAATAAATGTGTGAAAAGAGAATTAGTGAAATTAGGTTAGACCAATAAAACGTGAGGGCTCCAATACCCCCCTTTCTCGCTCCCCCAGCCTGGGGCTAGAAGGGCTATCTGGTCTGATCTATTGTTTCCTGCCCTGACAGGGGGTTCATTGTGTGATAAATAATTCCCCCTCCATTTTCTTTTATTCTTAAAAAAAATGGGAATTTGCATAATCAGTGCTTTGATGTGGCCAGAAATCGGAGGTTTGGTCTCCCCAAGTCTGCTATTGGTAGCGAAGCAACAAAGCTAGATTCAGATCTTTCACTTCGCTGACAGTGTGTGGGGCAGATTGTCAGAAATAGCAGCATTAAGCTGCTGGCTTCTTTTTTAAGGACCACTTTAATGATTAAACTTAAGGAATGTCCAAAAAAGGAGGGATGAAAGGCCAGCTTTCTCATCACCCCACAGACACCCCCCCCACCCCCGCCCTCCGTGCTTCTTATTGTTCTTGTTCTCTGCAGTTTCTTTTCCAAAGCGCTTGGTTTGGGGGGTGGTGCATCTTCCTTGGGGCCGCCCTACGTGGCTCAGAGGGCACCGGCAGGGGTTCCCCTGGGCCAAGGAGGGGCCAGGTCTGCAGGAGCGGTTCTCCCAGCCCCCCACGCGTTTTTCCTTCCCCAGTTTGATTTTTCCAGCCGAGATGGGGTTCATTTTACGGAGGACGTTGAAGTGAGTCGCTCTTTAGTCCCCGAGTGAAATGAGTGGGGGTTGGGGGGTTCCCTGGGAACGCAGCTTGGAGGCAGTTTCAGATGGTCCCCGACAGGAGAGGCCAGCAAAGAAATTCAGTCATCCGGAAAGCAGAACGCGAAAGCCAGTGTGGCCGGACCTATTATTTCCCTGCAAGGTGGCGTGAGTCGAGAGGATGGAGCGGGAAAGAATCCTGATGGTGTGTGCGTTACAACAAATGACTTTTTTCCCCCTCTCGGTGCCAGGGTCGGGGGAGGGGAGATAGGGGTGGTTCTGTCTGCTTTCGCTCGCATTCTCTGCTTCTCCAGCTGCTCAGAGCGCGAAGGGGGAAATGCCAACTTGGATTACTGACTGAGAACACCGCGTGAAAGGCCAGGCCTCCCTGATCATCCGGACAGGCGCCGGCTTCGCGCTCCAGCCTGTAGAGGTGTCAACCGCGTGAGAGATGCTCGGTCTCCCGGGATCCAAATTGGAGATGGAATCAGAGATGGAAG